TATCCCCAGTCATCATTACTATATGCAATGCTTGCACATGTCGCGACTGTTGCTGAATCTGCACTGCGTCACCAACCTGTACTGCTAACACATATTGCCCATACGCACCACTTCTCCGCTTGTCATTCGGCGCAGCGTTTCCTTTCCTCTTTTCGGCTTTGGCCCGCACACAGAATTGGCCAAAAATCTGACTCCTCCAAAAGCTCACTCTGCCTTGGCAGCATCTGCGTCTCTCCTTCAGGTGATTGACAGGCCTTAGTGAGGTTTAAGCAAAATATTGCTCCAGAAGCGAGGAGCACGCACCAGTTTTTTGGGAGGTGCGCCACTTTTTGGTCGCATATACACAGGGAATCTGTTTCCCGAAACCTAGTTTGCTCAGCATAGGTTGTTCTAATATTGGGTAGCTTCCAATTTCGCAAACTTTGAGTGGCTTAAGTTGGTACTTTTGGAGCAAGAGAAGCCAGGTCAATCAGATTAAGATGATTTTTTTTGTACTTCAGATTTATAACACACACACACAAACAATATTTATATATACTATTAACATCAATCAATTTTAAACTTTTAAACAAGGGTTCACTAGGGTGGTCATATGGGACATTGGAAATGTTTCTTAGCATTTTTTTCTGCAACAGAAGTAGTTTATTTAAGTTTGTACTTACCCCAAACTAGGTGGCAATAGTTTATATGAGAGAAATAAAGAGTTATAGATTAAAGGTTTGACACTTGTTGGCAAAAGATGGCGGTGTCGATACATCAAGCCAACGACACGCCATAGTTTCAGCAGAATATAATTAATATGATTGTCTCATCGCATTTGATCCGTGAATACAACACCAAGAGTCTTGAAGCTAGTAAGGACTTCAATTTTAGTTGAATTTAAAACAATATCACAAGTAAAGGTAACATTCTTGTTTTTTGGGGTGAAATAAAACCACTTTTGTTTTATTTTCATTGATTTTTGGAACATTACAGCTACACCACTTAACGAGGTCTTCAAGAGTTTCATTTGCGCTATTTATTAGTTCATTATTACCTGCAAATAGTAAACTAGTATTGTCTGCGTAAATTACATATTTGATATTTTTATTTAAAGGAGCTGTGCAATGATTTTAACAATGAAAGAGTTGGCATCTTCTACTTTTGACATTGTTCACCTTGTCACAAATACAGAAAAAACACCTCCTTTCATTGAAATGTTGCGATTCCGCCGCGTAATCGCGAGGCAAAAATTAGAATACTCCCCGACCTGCAGCCGCGAGCGGCGGCCATGAGAAACACGCGGCATGACGTCAATGGGGGTCTTGTAGAAAGATAGCGAGTTGTGCGAATACCTGCTTGATAAAAGGTAATTTTTCTATAAATCTTGTTGTTCCAACATAAATATAAATGCGTCAAAAACCTGGTATCATCGATAAAACTTTTAATATGCAGAGTTTTAGTGGCGCCATCTTTCCGAGGTCAGCAAAACCGTCGGCTCTATCTGCTATTGTGAACAGTCGCCAGAAGCAGGAGGGGGAGGGGGACAGAGCCGGACGGGTATGGCCGGACCCAGAAGAGACTTTTCTCCTTTCACCGTATTGTTTGCGCTGCGCCAGCACGTGGTCGCGAGCGGATGAGTTCTCGCTGCTCACTGATGGCTCTATAGAGAGAGCTTCACCGGAACCCCGCACAACCCCCATTGCCGTCACAGCGCACGTGACTCGGAAGATGGGGAAGGAATTGAGGGGTGCCGAAAACCTCAATGTTTGTCCATTTTTAAAATAAAAACTAGTACATGCAGGCAAAAGCAGTTTTTTTGTTCTTTACTTCAGAAAGGTTGAGACACCAACTCCCAAATTATTTAAGCAAAGCACTGAAACTGTTGCACAACTCCTTTAAGTTCGCAATATCATTGACATATAAATTAAACAAAAAAGGGTCTAGAATACACTTTCTTGGGGAACTCCAGATTCAATTGGTTTTATATTAGAAGAATAGCCATTTATATGGACGTATTGCTTACGATGTTAAAGATACGACGCAATTAAAATTGATACCTATCCACAAAAACCATATGCTTCTAGTTTTGTTGTTAACAGATTATGATTTAGATGATCGAACGCTTTGCTAAAATCAATAAATAAGGGCAATTTTTTCTGCTCAAAGTTGCCCAAGATTATTCTTTTTGCTCTAAAAGAGCAAGCTCGGTAGACCGGCCTTTATGGAAACCAAACTGCAATGGATTGATTATAACTGTGCTTATCTGAAAACTTCACCATACGTGAAAGCAATATTTTTTCAAAGCCTTTCGAAAACACCGGTAAAGTAGAAATAGGCCTGTAGTTTGCCATGTCGTTCTTGTCACCCTTTTTATACAATACGCGGACCTTAGCTGTCTGCATACTTTTTGGAAACACCCCGAGCTGCAAGCAGATTAAAGATGAAGGTCAGACAGCATAATACAATATCTATTACATATTTTATCGAACCTATCTGCATATCATCAGCGTCACAGCTAGTACTAATTTTAAAAAACAAAAATGTGTGCCTCACATCTATATTCAAAACTGGCTCAAGAAAGATTGTACTTTCATTTTTACGTTCAATATATGTGCAAGCGTTTTCGCCTGGATTATCTTTTGCCAAATTTACAAAGTGGTCATTAAAAGCACTTGTTAGTAATGTTCCTGTAAGTTCTACATTAAACAGGCGGATTTTCTCAATTTTCTTCATTTCGTACAAACGATTCAGGACATTGTTAAGCTTTTTCCATGTGACGTCTGTTTGCATTGCTGTTAACACAAAGTAGTTATTAAAGTACCTTGCTCTAGCATTTCTTAATTGCCTTGTAAGTATGTTACGGTAGGATTTATTTGCTTTAAGATGTTCAGGGTCCTTAGTGTTTACAAATATTTTGTATAAAACATTTTTCCTATTTATTTTAAACAAAAGTTCTGAGGTTATCCATGGTTTAAGATTTCTTCTCTACAATTTAATAGAACTATATGGAAAGCATGTTTTGTACATTTCCTTAAAGGGGCCCTGCAATCATATTTAAGCGTCTACCTTTTTTGCGGTTTTCACGTATCTTGAAGTTCGGGCAAGCCAGCGGGCACGGAGAGAGTGACTAAATATCAGTGCGTCGTATTTTAACCGGACGACGCGGAAACCTCCTCCACCGACGAGGGCGACCTGCGGTACCGAAAGCGAGCAAAATGTGACGTCTTTGGTCCTGGGCTTACTACTGGTCAGAGCCGCTAAAAGCTTCTTTTTAGTCGAAATACAAAATATAAGTGGCGCGAACCGTTTCAATTATTTGTAAAAGTAGTTTTTGTTCAGCAGTTTAGATCAAAAAATAAACGAATGCAGTTCATAAAGTACGGAAACAAGAAATGACCCATCGACACACCCGCCACCAAGCGGTGGAAAAGGCGGCGCATACTAGAAAGGACTAGTGGGATCTGGAGCCGACACGGAAAGGTCCCGGATGTACGCGGCGGCGCTGCGGTCGAATCGGCAGCAGGATCCGACCGGCTCCGAGCGTTCCGAAGGCCTTCGGTACCTTCGGCGAGAAGCTTTGTCTTGCTGTTTGGCCGTTTCGCGGTGTGGCAGCGCGAAGTGGCTCTCATTTTAAACTGATCTTTATTTCATGTTTACTATCGTTTGTGGCCAATGAAGTGTCATGCCGAATTAGTGTTTAATCGCGCAGCAAATGCGATGAGAGCCGCTCTGGCTGCCCGCTGCATACAGCCTATCCAGAGCATGCTTTAGTGGCGACCTCTCGCGCCGTCGACACAGAGTGCGGCCGCCGTGAGCGCTCGCGAGGAGCCCACTATCCCTCCTCTAGGTCACGGCCACTCAAGCAACCAAGGACGTCATGAGGAAGGTTATTTCTTCCTTGTTTTTGTAATTTTAATTTGCCTATAACTTTTAAAATAAAGCGAATTTCGAGAAAAGAAACGTTTCACTGAGTTACTACGTTCAGTGCGCTCAGGTGCGGTGCAAATTAAAAATTAGTAAAAAAGTCATTGCAGGGCCCCTTTAAATTTGTTCGAGAACACGTTATATGCTTGAATCGCCTCTACTTCCTCATAGACCGGGCTCCAGTCCATCTCCAAAAGTTTATTTTTAAATTCAGAAAGGCTATTTGCTGTAATATTATGAAAAGGTGCACCAAACCGCGTCTTTATAGTTTTAGCTATTTCTTTTTTTATACACATGGACACGCCCAGACGGTTACTTATAATCTGTACTTAATATCCCCGATATTATGCAAATTAAGGCAAAATTTGTAATAAACAGATCAAGGAGCGTTGAAGAGTTTACCGTAAACCTTATGGGCGATTTTACGACATTCATACAACCACTAATATTAAGAAATCCTTTTGCTTGGGGTGTCTAGAAGCATGTTCAAGTTGAAATCTCTCACAAAAAAAAAAAAAATATTATATTGATTTTTTGTAGCAAATCTAAAATATCAGCTTTGAAAAAAAAGGAAACTAGATTTCTATTTGGCGGTCTATAAACTACCGAGACAATATTGTTATCCACAACAAGGGACAGCACTTTATAGTCTCTAGTAACACATGAGTATTCAGGTAACAATTCACCTTGCATATTATTTCTTAACATTAACAACACACCCCCTCCATGCCCAGTTGATCTGTTTAAAAAGTAGTTGTTATACATTGGTAGTTTAAAAACATAGTTTTCATCAGAATACCATGTTTCTAAGAACATAACATAAAAAAAAAAAAAACAAGTTCTGTAGTTTTGTTATGGGCAGAAGGAGTATTGAAGTGTACACATTTAAAAGAACTTGAGTACTCATTCCCCATGTGGTCATTTAGTTCAGATGTAGAAAAGTATATTTGTTCTGCCATAGTGGGTTAAAAGACAACATGAAGCAGAAAACAACAATACTCACCTGAAGTACATTTCTCATCTTCAAGAAACTCGGACATATCAAGAAAAACATTTCATGAATGTTAAAAAGACTAGCATTTGACACCAAAGGCTTTATAGTCAAAATTTATTATTAAGTAAAGCTTCATAAACTAAAAAAGGTATCACCATGTCATCATCGTACCGTCCTTGTCCGAAACATTTTCCAAGATGTCCTGGTCTTTGTAGCTTGGTGGCAAGGAAAGAATCGCCGTGGCCACCTCCAGCCTCTCCATCTGTTTGTTCCGAGCAAAAGAAGAGGCAACTGATTGAAAACACAGATGTCTACAAGGATTATGTTTATAAAGCCTCTGCCATTCTTCGAATTTCTAAGCAATTAAAGTCGTGTCCGTCTGCCTACATCAAAAAATTGGACACGACTAGAGTTTTGCATTTTCGGTAAAATATCTCGATAAACCTCGAAAAGTAACCGATTTTGTCAAAACCGGGGAAAACCGCAAAAACCCTGAATTGGAGCTGTCCTCGAATTACAAAAAGAAACTCGAGCTTTACGGAAAGGAATTTTTATCTATGGCTCGATTGTACGCTGGTTCAGAACATGGCACTCCATTGAGCCAATCATGAGGCTGCTGCTTCCTTCGGAAACCATCTTGTTTTTTTCCTTCTCGTATCAGTACAGTATGGGGATGTTTTCCTTGTATTCCGGATACATGCACGCAACTTGTTCCCCAAAGGTTGGATAGTTTCGCGGCGGCATTCCATTCTCTTCGACGCAGGCCCCAACAAACCGAGATGTTTGGTTCAACGCCGAAAACACACGCCCCAAAAAACAAAACCAATGGGAGAAAAGGAAAAAAATAATAAGCCCTGGAAATACTCTTTTAAACCTGAAGTCGAACAAACCTCGTAAACATGGATCCCCAGGTGTGACCTGGCCCTCGCTAGGCCTCTCGACGCTGTTTTGCGCCGTTAACGAATGTGATAGCCCAGAAACAAAAATGAATCCGGAAAATGAATGAAAAACAAAGTGAATGGACGATTTTGCAAATGCCGGCGCCGCCGGCGAGTGTTGCGGAAAACTGCGTAAACTATGAGGGTGCTCAGCCAACTTCGCTCGTGAATCATTGTCATCATCATCACCATTTAATAAGCCTTGAAGGCCCTTACGGGCATTATACGAAGTGGAGGTATAGGCTGGAGAACATTATTATACCAAGCGAAAAACAGGAAAAATAAACACCAACACCCTTAGGAAAAGAACAGCTAATTGAAAAGAAAAAACACATAAATAAAACATTTTGACAAATGCCAATTGAATTTACTATTAGTCCAACTGCAAATGGGTGGTTAGTTGGGATATGAATGTGTTATGATCTGTCACAATACTGTTAGGCACGTTATTCCAGTCTGTTATTGTTAGTGGCAAGGTAGAGTTAAGGAATGAGACCGAAGAAGTAATGGATAATGTTTACGGGTGTTATCGATGCAAGGAAATATGTGGGGGTGGGAATAAGAGTAAAGTTCTGATGTCATAGCTGCGATAGTAAATCTTGCGAAAAAAAGACAGGCGTGATAATGCTCTTCTAGACGAGAGCAGATTAAGGTTAGATTTTATTCGTAACGAAGTAATGCTGGTGTCTCGTGAGTAATCCAGAAATATAAATCTGATTGCGAGATTTTGAAGTGTCTCTGTGTTTGTTATCAATGAATGTTGCCAAGGGGACCAGACAGATGATACATACTCAGTCTGTGATTCTACGAGTGTGGTGTGGGCTAGTTGTTTTACTGATGATGGTGCAAGTTTTAGATTGCGTCGAAGATGGCCAAGAGAGTGGCTAGCGTTGGGCAGGATATATGTTATATGCGTGTTCCATGAGAGGCCACCAGATGAGTGAATGCAAAGATACTCATAAGATGGACTCCCGGTGATTACATTGCGTAAGTTAAAAAAAAAAAAAAGACTGTGAGCATGCGTGAAGGAAATGAGTTGCGTTTTAGAAAAGTTCACTGTCATTTTCCACCTTTTTGCACCGGTCGGCTATTAGGTTAAGGTCGGTTTGTAGGGTTATGTAATCATCCAGGTTACATACAGATTGGTAAATTATGCAGTTGTCAGCAAAGAGGATGATACAGGATGGTATTTGATCAGGGAGGTCATTTACCAATATTTAGAAAGAGCAAGGGCCAAGGATGATACAGGAGAATGAGATGATGAGTAGTTGTTAATTACAGCATGCCGAGGATGATTGGTTAAAAATTGTCCGATCCATGATGTCAAGGATGGATGACTGTGAAGTTGATTTAGTTTGAATGTGAGTAAACAACGAGACATCTTGTAGAATGCGTTAAAAAAATCAATGAATATGGTGCCAGTCTACGTTATTGTCAACCTTGCTGTGTATTTCATGCACAAGTTAGACTAGCTGTGGTTTACAAGAGATTGATTGCATGATGCATCACACTAAAATTTTGTGAATGTGTCAGGAGGCACAAACTCACAAAATAAAATTAAATAAGAACAAAAAAAAAAAAACGACATTGCTATTGGCAATTTTAACGAAATAGACGCCTCGTAGCGGCAACGCTGAGAAGCTCGGGAGAGGAGGTCGTTTCGACTCTGTCGTTTGCTATCGCTGCTTGGTTCTTGTAGGCAGCAAGAAACATTGTTCCCAGTAATTATTTTTATGCTTCTGCCGTGTCATTCCTACGCACTGTCTAGAAAAAGGTTTCTACCGTTGAAAAATAGCTTTGCATTCATATGTAACTTGCGCTACATACATTCGTATGTAGGGCAAGAAATTTATGGTGGTCCACGTGCCGAACGCCAAAAACGACCTCCTTTCATCTGCCATTTTGCCTGACCAGAGCGCCCCCTAGTTCGCTGGAGTTGCGAATACAGACAGGGTTGTCTGTATAACATACTAGGGCTGTCCGTTAACGTGGAAAGGCCACGTTAACGGACAGCCCTAGTGCGTCAAAATAACCCCGAAAACTGAGGCGAGCCGGCAGCTTAAGAACCCTTTGCTAGCCGTCGTACACCACCGAAGGACGTCTCCGCGCCGGTTCCCACATTGCTGCACCCAGCAAGTTCTCGAGCACGATGGTTAGAACGCAGGCCGACACCTGACGCCGTTAAAAAACATAATCCGCAACAGAAAAAAAAAAGAAAGAAACAAAAGGAAAGGCTTGTTGCATTTGTTACGGTGCCTGTAGCATGTCCCCGATTGGGGCTGCCCGTTCCAATGCCAGCGGGGGCAGAGCGGCGGAAGCCCATCCCGCTACTGGTCATTCTGCAGCACGACAGCCCGCGGAAACTTCAGAAGTCGGGATTTGAGATGCCGTGGTGACGGCAACACTAGCATTCGCTCGTCTTCTATCCCGTCACTTCTAGACCGTCTGCAAGGATCGCGACGTCCGACGGCTCCTGTGACGTCTGTTGTGACACTGGAAGGCGGTGTGGGATGCCAAATTCACCGGCATGAAACGCGTTTCGTCCATCGTGGTCTTGTCGCAACCGGTCTCACCCGTCGTTGCAGGTCCTCAGCCAGCACTTGTTGGTTGCGCTTCTTCACCAGTGGCGGATACGTCTTGCGCTTCTGCACGACTTCCTGGAGCATTTTCTCCACGATTTCCTCCAGGTAGACCCCGGTGTTGCCCCCACCCGGAGTCGCTGCCGCCTCGCCGTCGCTGATCTCGGGGATCTCGCTGTTGAAGCGATAAGTCTCGCTGAATATCTGTCGAGAGGGATCGGGATGCAATGAATGATGTCGACGTTTCGCAGAGAAATGGATTCACCTTCGTCGAGTGTTTCCGAAAGGAAGTCTCTGAGCCTCAGGGTGGCAGCAATAGTCGGTGACCGGTTAAGAGTGAAGCCGAAGCTTCTCCCAGCTCTTTCCTCTTTAGCAGAGCCAATGCTGTAGGGGAGGCGACCTCCTTTCTAGCACTCACTCTGCTAAAGTGGAAAGAGGTGCTAGGAACTTCCACTTCACTCTTGCTTCCTGCTGACCCTGAAGACCTCTGTGTATGGTGACTATCGTAAAATACCGGGCAAGCGCCCACTCAAAATTTAGAGATAATTGGGAAAAAATGGGGGAGGGGCACTTGTCCGGTCATCAATTTTACATATCGATGTACTGTGCATATTTTCTCAGATATTAAAAATTTGGGAATGGGCACTTAGTGTGGAAAGGACGGATGTGTGGTATTCTACGATAGGATTGTCACTCCTCGTTTAGAGGGTTAGTGATTTCACAGCGCCGAGCTCCGATTCAAGGAGAACGCCGCACTGCAGTGGGCAATGGCTGTTTTGCCTTTTCTGCAGCTGTCAGAAATCCACCGGTTCTTTATGAACGAGGACTCGGGCCTTCGAGAGAGAGAGGAAAAACCTTGAAAATTAGGCTTCTTTTGTGACTAATGACTATGATGGGTGTTACAATAAACAAAGAGCTTGCGGCCGAGGTGTTTACCCGCTAAAAAGAATGCCGTCTGCTCGACCCGAGCTTGGTCGCACATGTGATAAAACGTAAACCAGGTCCGTCTGCTTTTTTTTGTCTTCAGCTCCTCACTTTTTTAGGCAGCTACTCTGCCGTGCTCAGAGGGACAAATGGTAGTCGACTTGCATACAGTATGGTAGCAAACAATAAGTGTTTGTTGAAGGGGCAGTTTGATGCTTTAGCCCCATGGTCCAGGGGAAAAAGAGCAGCTGTCGGATGTCCAAAACAACATGCTTTTCAAGCAAAGCTCGTAAAAATACTTGGTGATGAAGTAAATCGGCTATTTGTGTTAAGTCCTCAATTCACTCTTTTTGTTCATGTTTTGTCCATAGAGAGACGGGGCAAAAGAGCCCAAGTACGTACCTGGTCTAGCTACACTGCCGACTGCTTCCGCACAATAAAGTCTGTCTGCTATGGCCACCAAATATCATAGAGCTAGGAAGAAGAGAAGGCGACATACCGGCTCAAGCCAGCCAAACGAGAAAATCCGAAGTAAAGCCGGTAGGGGGGGGGGGGGGGGGGAATTGGTGTCTGAATGGGCTAGTGCACACCAGCCTGGAGCATGTAAAGAGAAATCTTGTGCTGCAGAACCCAGGGTTCCTGGGTTCTATCCCCACCCCTGCCCGTTTTGATATGGATGAGCATCGTACTGGTGTGCGGTCATGTATCACCATTGCATGGTGCACGTTAAAGACTTCAGGCTAGTGGTTGTACTGCACTGGCTAAATTTCTCATCTACAGCTGAGACACCCGACGCCGATTGAGGGTGAGTGACTTCCAGCGGTATAAACATACACACAACATTATTATATCAAGTGAAGCAGGAAGCAGAGGACCCAGTCGGTGGAAGCGACCCCGAGGGTGACAAAAACTCTATAACCTCCTTGCTAAAACTGCTGTTGGCGCAAAATCGGCTTTCCTTTCCGTCCAATAGCGTCTTTGCGTTTTGGTCATCGTTGGGGGCGTGTCGCTCCAAACCGGAAGTCTCCCCTGGCTTTACCTCTGGTGGCTTCATGTCGCCTCCAGAAGCTTCCCACCTCCATGCCAAATGTCAATAGACGTGCCCGCAAACGCAGCGTCTGAAGCCCGCTACAGCTGGGCCATCTTCCGAATGCCGTCCGCTACCAAAGCTAGTTAGGCCTCCAAGCTAGGCTGCCAAACAGTTTCTGCTGCATGCATACACCACTCGCTTCACTGGGGAAACTTTAACTCTCACCAAACTCTCAACATTGATCCCCATAACGGCACGTCCGACTATGGCTGGCGTTGCAGTGTTCACGATAGCCGACGACTCTTGGAAGATGGCGTCTCCCGTTGCTGACTTTAGACGCTGCATTCGAGCATTCCTCCTTGAAGAAGACGCTCTGTTGCCATGGCGACGCTGACACTGACAAGAGCAAATGGACTTGGTTGTGTGGAAGGAGACAGCGGGGTGGCGAGATCAGGTGCGTACTTGGACGCTTTTGCTGTGCTTTTCAATGGATGGAACGTGAACAAAAAGTGTTTGAAATAAGGAGTTGACTCAGATGGGCGATTGTCTATAGTGCCTAATATTTTGTGATCTTTACACAAAAAGTATGTTTTTAGGTTGCCATTTGGACGAAGTTTCTTGCACTGCAACATGGGGCTAGACTACCGATGCGCCAATAAAGGAACCTCTATCAAACTTATAGTAGACGGAGATGACAGCCTAATAAATTACCTTGGTGTGACCACTTTTTCATCAACCCTATTTAAAATGAGTTTTGCACATGCATAGACTCCATCACGCAGCGGCGAAGGCTCAAACTATGGTTGGCGTCTGGAAGGAGTTGTGCTACCTTTTCAGCCTCCTCCGCTAAGGTAGTAGACGTAGCAGAACACTCTTTCCGGACGCCAATTTCACTTTGAGCTTTCAATAGACTCCTTTCAGAAGGTTGGCCTCTGTTGGTGGCTGTGGAATCCCTGCATAACGGCGGACAAAAGCCCCAATGCCACGAGACACTTTATTGCGTTTGGTTGGATTAGAAGGCAGACACACAGAAAAATGTGATGAGTGCAGTGACGTTGCATATTCGACGCTGTTTGATTGGCTCGTTGGCTCCTTTGGCCGGGCTCCGCCGTTCTCAATCTTATGGAATGACTTGCACATTCAATTATGTCAGTTATTCCGCCATTGTGCAGTGGTTTCAACCTCTAATAAACTGCATGTGACTTTTAAAAGGGCTTTATTTAGGTGGCATAGGGCACCGCTTTAAAGAGATGGTAAACCAAAATTTGGATTTCAAAAAAAAAAAAAAAAAAAATGCTGGAGATGTAGGCTGGACGCTACAATCCCTACAACACTACAAGTAAGGCGATATCTCAAATGGACGGCTGTATTTTTGGAAAAAGAAGTCGAGATTGAACAAGGCCGACGAGGCGCGTGACGTCAAGATACCTAGTTTCCTCCTCTCTTCGCTTCGCTCCCTCAAGACCGCGAGGAGCAGAAGACGCGAGGCCGTTCCCTCTCCTTCTCGGAGAAACATGACGTCAACATTCCTGCCAAATGCGCCTTTTTTTTTAAAAATAGTCATCCTTTCGAGATATCGCTGTATGAGTGATGTATTGGTGTTTGTAGTATTCCGTTGCACGCTTTTACCGCGTGTTTTGGGGAATTCAGATTTCGGTTCAGCATCCCTTTAAACCGCAGAAAAGAGGCAACTAGCCAAACAAAGAAAGTTTGGAAAAAGATGACAGAGCGTCCGAGAAAACTGCTTTGGAGCAGCGCAGTTTCACCGTTTTGAAGCTTGACTTGAGTTCCAAAAGTCGCTTTTCTTCGAGTGGTTGCGCGTCAAAGATGCTATCTACCCGGCGGAAAACTTCCTCTAAGGTTAGATTCAATCCATACTCATGCTTGCAGCGAACCTTCGCGCCACTGCCCTCCGCCATTATTTCCAAACTTTTGTTAGTGGATGTGGATTGGATTGGACCGGCTGTATCGAAACGTAATGTTGAACTGAATAAAGAAGAATAAACTGTTTATAAATAACAAGAAAACATTAAATAAGACGTGCTTTGTTAATAAGCTTCTTGTTTTTGGTAATGTTTGGTAGTTTTTTTTTAATTTTTATAAAACATTCGTTGGAGTTTCCCAACGAGTTTCCCGACATTGTTGTCGGCTTGGCCGGATCGCCATCACAATCGCCGTCGTCATGGACGCGCTTATGAAAACGGATCTCTACGAACTACTACAAATTTCCATCGATGCCGACGAAAAAGAGGTAAGTCGAACGTCAACGTCATTTACAGACCTGCAGTTTGATTGACTTCAACTGTTTATAAGCCATACACACTTTCAAATGCCTGGATGTTTACGTGCCGCTGCCGGCGTCAGCCCAGCTCGGTGAATGAGCTGCGCGGTTTCGGTTCATGTCCACGGGCTTCTAAACTTTCTCCAAGTTATTTCCTGAGACGAACTGGAGTTGTGAGTTCACTTTCAAATCACCTTTAGGATTCGTCGAGGTCGGTTGCAGCACCTTGTCCGAATGTGGTTTGCTCTTTTTAATAAACAAAGGCAGAACACAAAGGCTGCGTTGGTGGCTGTTAGGTTAGGTTAGGTTAGGAGAGACGAGAGTACACAGAAAAGGTCTATAAGACCTTTTCTGTGTACTATCGTCTCCAGCCACCTAATAGGCGTATCCGGTATGGGCGACGAAAAAATAATGCAATGTTTTAACCTGCAAATAGTAAAAAAAATAAAGGAAAGACAAAACGACAAAGTGTGACGGTTACGCTTATATTCTAAACCCTTCTATTGGCGTGGCAAAGGCAAAACAATGTTTTCGCCCATACTGGAAGTGACATCAATTCAAGATGGCGGCGCACTTGCAGAAAAGGTCTATTCGCGACTCCAGCGACCTATAGGGGGCGCCACCACCAAACAAACATGGCGGCTGAGTCCAGGTCGTGTCGGCTCGGCCGGGCTAAAGTGAACTAGAAGAGGGGTAGTGAGGTCAGCGCGCGCTGACGGCGGCCGCACTTCGTGTCGACGGCTCGAGAGGGCGCCGCGAATGCATGGGCTGGATGAAGCGGGTGGCCAGGGTGGCTCGCATTGCATTTGCTGCGTGACTAAACTCTCTGTTTGAGCTTTTCGGCTCGAAATGTTTGACCGTTTTAGGTACGAACCCCATAAAAGAAATACGCGACACAAAATTGACGCAATTCGTCTGGCCGTCTTCGCTTTAATGCGCGGGGTACGAAGCAGAAATGCGCAACGCGGAAGGCGAACACTGCAGTTCAATTTCCTGGGCGGCGTTTCAAAACCAACATGTTCGTACAATTTTTATTTATTTATTATTATTTTCTTTTATGGCGGGTCGGTTTGTTAGGAGTCTCATTAAAAACAGGGTGAAGCTATTTAATGGTCAAGAAGTCCTTCACTCGCGCGCATAAATGGCTAATTGTAATATTGAGACCGGATCATAGTGATGTTTCCTAGACATTTAAACAATCACGGCTCAAGCCTCAAGAATGGCATCAAATCGTTTTAACAGGGCATTCCTTTTATACCTAGTATTGAAACCGTGCATACCTACCCCCAAGGTTTAATCTCCTTTATTGATTCACCATATGTGTCTCCTTAAGCCAACTTCAAAGAAACCTGTTGGGTAAATACTGCTGGACAAAAAGAACTCGTGTGACAGCAAACCCTGTTATTTATACATGAATACACTTTTTATTAGTTCTCAGCGAAAACACAGTACTGTAAACAACGTATTTTTCGCAAGCGCAATATTTCGCGATTTCGGTCGAAGCTAAAGTTTCGAAATAATCCGCGGGTTCTAATTTTCGCGACGCGGCTTGTGTTTACATTTTACCGGAATTGTTCGCGGGACCTATTTTTCGTCGGCACGGCACCTCCACAGAGACGATAGGAGTCGACGTCTCGGAGAACCTCCGCTTCCTCGCAGCTGACGACGCGTCTTCCTTCAGCTATGCTGCGACGAAGATTAAAAGTGTATACAACAGCAGGCATGCTGTCTCGTGAAAAAATCACTACTCTCTGGGATAAAACTTCATTGTCACACATTTTGGTTTACAATACACGAAACCACTGGGGCTCGGAACTCGGTGACGGCTCCAGTACTCGGAGGGGACACGCAGCGTGGAGTATTCTTCGGGCATACAGGCTTCATCAAATGCCCCGATATCGGCTGCAGCCGGTGTGGTGCTGCCAGTGCTGCTGCAGGCAGTTGGATGGGCAGTGTGTGGCCTTTTTTTTACCGTCAACTGAGAAAGCATCGGCGTTTTTTCGCTTTCTCGTGGACCTTGGCTGCGATGCTTTCTTTAATCGGTAGCTCGGAGCATTCGGAAGCAACGTCGGCACAACGCCCGGCAAGAGCTGCGGCTTTCCACGCGGAATGCGCACCTCTTCATCCTTTATAATGTGAACGAAGTCTCGCGTTATAAACGATGGCTCAAAATGAAGCTCACACACCGAACACGTTTCGTCCAGGAGCTTATCCTGGCGATGCAAGTTCCGTTCCCAAACTTTTCTTTGCTCTTCCTCCTAAGGCACTGAGAACAGCGACGGCTGCTCACCTTTCCGCCACTGATAGCCCCTCTGGCACCCCGGAGCGAAGCAGTGGCGTTGCCGACGTCGATTCAGCATGGCACTTCAATGACCATAAACGACAACAGACACGGGTAACACGGGGTAAAGAGCGGTTCAGAATGGGGGCCACTTCGAGCCGCCAAAAACGCAAGCCAACTCTCCTCGCTCAGGGCCTTTGAAACGCTCGGAAGCGGTCGGATCCTACAGCCACTACGTCCGCAGCGCCACCGCGACCTTTCCACACGCGCCGTTTCACAGCAATGCATGGCGCGCCTCGGCGCCTGATCTCACTACCCCTCCTCTAGTTCACTTGAGCCGGGCCGCCTGAATGGGTGGCGCATTCAATTTAACTATTATTCTTTTGTTGAATGCCCAATTTTATGGGTATTTGAACTGAGACAGTTAAGTTTAGCCGGTGCGCATAAACTTGCCTAGCATAGTTTTGTTTTGCCGGTGTTTTTTGTTCTTTTCATGTCAAACTTTCGCTGCGGAGACTTCGATCAAAACCGAAACTATGGGCTCCGGAGAAACGGTAATAGACTCTAATTAGTTTTCATCATCTAAGGAAAGCGGCGAGGGCTACAAAATTGTTCCACCAAGAGTAATGTTTAGCTAACTCGCATGCCTCGATCATGCTCGGTCAAGAACACAGGCTGCAGGAAAATTACGAACATTAAGCAAGCGCTTCTTGAGCCAAGGAGCATGTCAACTCGCTGGCACTTCACTAAGCAGCTGATACTCGTATTTCAATTCAGGTTTTAGTAGCAATCGAAAAGTCATTTTGATGAATATGCGGTTATGTATTATATTACGTACTATGGTCCCACTAAAGCGATATTAGTATGTTCTTCGGGTTGAAATATGAACATAGTTGACTAACTATTAGGGTGAACTGCTGAATAAAAGTATATTTGACAGACAGAGAGATACTACTTAAAATTAGCCAAATGGTTCTAGCCGGTAGAACGGGACGAATGCGGACAAGCTGAGGAGAGTCTTCATCGGAGATTCACTCAAACCTCTCTGCATTGAACTTGACTTCGAATCCTAAACAGATAATTTTTTTTTTTTTTTTTGTGGCCGGTTAATTTGTGCAATGTGGACGTATATTGCTGCTGGATTCGACAGGGGTTATAAGTATTGGAGGCGCGATAGATCCTAATGACGTGACAGCTTCTATCTTTGCGAGACGCGTCCCCCACCTTTTGAAAGCAGATAATATCCCTCATTAATCATGTGCAGCGAGCAGGTTCTCTGAATCAAGTAATTGCGAAATTAGCCCAACTCCTTCAATGTGGTCTTTTTCGGCGAAAAGCCGCCAAGATGAATAGCCAACGCACCGGCCGGCGTTAGTGGCTCAAATTAACCTGAAGCTAATCCAGCACAACCAAACTCAAGGAAAGCAGCTATCGAACCTTCCCATTCACTTGTCTGCAACATTGGTGTCCCCTCCAGTAAAACACTTCGTCTGTCGACCTCAGTCTACTGTTCTACATCCCTATAAAGAAACTGCTTATCAGTTACCAAGCAGTCGTTACTTTGATTGTGATTAGAGACAGACGAGAAATCAAAACGTTTTTCCGTGATTCCTTCCCATCCAAAAATTTGAAAACACGGGATCGTGTGTTGTGGAATAAAAGGGCTTTCAAACACGTGATGGAAAGAAACAATCTACTGAGGCTTCACCACACTAATGAACACTCAGGCAAACTTAAGAAATTTTCGGACCTTCATCAAATTACATTGCTCGCCGCCGCGCCGACAACACGCGTCCGCAAAAGCCACCAGAGACGCGGCGGGGCGCGGAGCGACCTGGACCGGCTGGTTCCCGGTTTTCCTGCTTGGCGGCGTCCGTTTTGCTGGAGTCGCGAATACATAGGTTGCACATGACGTCATTCAAAAGAGTGCTCCGATGACCACCAGAGACGAGGGTAAGAAGGAGTTCCCCGCTTATCAGGACCCTCGTTTGTGCCTCCCGGGTTTGCACAGGCGTCGCGATTCTCCTCCCAGAAGATTATAAAAGATTAGCCCGTCACTTAAAATTCTTACAAAAGGAGCTCCTCTCTCCTCCTCTTACATGGCGGTCAAAAGTATGCGATGTGACGTCAGTGCAACCTGTGTATTGCTGTGACGTTAGAGGGTTGCAAGCGTTTCAGACACGTGCTCAGTCCGACCTTACGAAGGACCGTAGAGGATGTTTTTGAGCCATCCCTAGCCAATCCGGTGCCGTGTGAATGTCACGTGACCTTCGAGAGGGGCGCAGTGACGCGCGAGGTATGTGGCTAGTGGTCACGTGATGCGTTCACGTCGCTGGATTAGCTTGGTTTGGCTCATACCGTCTACTGTGGTTCATGGTAAGGTGAAATGAAGCAATGCAAACCTCGAGCAACACGTGGGATCTTTTAGTTTCCCACACTCGAACCTCCAAGAAGTATGAAAGCATCTGGCTTGGGTCGTCACAATCCCCATGGAGTTCAGACTACAAATACAAACCTTGGCGAGCTCATTCATTCAACGAAACATTGCACACATTTAGTCCGCACTCCTTTACTCCTACTCCGACACTCTGAGTTCCATACTCCGAGCGCAGCAACTAAACGGATGGAGCATAGCACCCAGGAGCGCGACACACCAAAACTGTCGACGAGCTGCAAGAGCCACTTCTGACCGCACGGTTATAACAGTTATGATACAAACCCGGCATCTCGTAGATACAGTCAAACCCGTTTATAACGAACTGCAGGAAATGCTATGGCCAGTTCAATATTGCAAGTACAGGGGTGGAACGGCTGCGCCATTTGCGCCATTTTGCGCCAGACGCATATGTCTGCGCCATCCTGCGCCATGTTGCAGAAACTGCGCCACAGCCAATACCTCGCGCCATTATGCGCCAGATCGCAAAACGTGCGCCCAGAAACTTTTTATTTTGTCTTGGTTTCGGTTTTATTGACTCGATTGGCAACAATGAGCGCGTTCAACCTGGTCGGCCTTACAATCCTTTGTTCTGTTTATTCTCCCTGACTATCCCGAGTCGGAAGCGCGCGAAAAAACTCGGATTCTAAGCGCCACACCACCTGCGACTGGATTGTTATTCTTCAACCATAATTAACGGTTAAGCACGTCGGCTGAGGTGAGGTCGAGTCGTTGAGCGTCAGATTGCCTGAGGCTCTGCGGCCCGGGATCCGGACGTCAGCCAGTTGAAAACAAATGAGCAAGATATTCCTTTTAGTACTTCATCGTTAGAAGTTGGAACCGCATTCTCGCAAGATAAATCGTGATTTGATTGAACTGAAACGCGGTCCGATCCGAAACCTTGCCTGCCAGCAGCTCTTTTGCGAGTGATAGATCTGCTCGGCGTACTTTAACCTTGCTCCTGCTTATCGCTTCAAATACGATAACTTCGTTAATCGTAGTCTGCTGCTTCGTAATCGAGTTGCACAATAGGATAAACGCGAAATTTGTTGCCCTGTTCCTTCGTGCAACTGCACGTCCATTGCTTGCGCACGTCACGGGGTTCGCACATATAATTACTATGTCAAGCACGTGTGGGTTGTGCGATAAGCAGTGCTGGTTTGCATTTTGAGCAGCTGAAGGCCACTCGGAAAATATCAAGAACGCTATCTTGAGAAACAGGGTACTGGCTTTTTGATTCTCATTAAGGCTCACAAAGTTTCAAGTTTTTCGCATCTGTAACACTGTTATCCCGTCTACCTAGGTCCCTAACCATTCATGTTCATCTGTTCTGCTAAGTACGATTGAAATTGCTCCCGTGCTTGTCTAAGACGCAAGCTGAAGTGCAATGAAAACTGATCTGAGCTGCTCCTAGCCTGCTCCAGAACGTAGTTTTAGCTGCTCCCAACCTGCTCCATAACAGCTGTTTCAGTTGCTCCCGTGGCTGCTCCCAAGTACATTTCATGAGTTCCACCCCTGAAGTAGTTTGTTACAGTATAGCAAACAATATTCAGAACAAACTTCCAAGGTGAGTTAGTTCTAAGACAAGAGCTTCCCTTTCTTTCTCATCTCTTCACTTCCACCTTGTAGCAAATCGCTGGAGACTTTTTTTCTTCTTTTTTTTTGCATGCAGAGTTTGTGTTTTAGCTTACCTCCCCTTTTGAGCTCCTCTTCGCTCAGTTTTGTTTGGAACTTGAGCTTCTAGAATTTTCTTTCTTTTCTACTACTTTTCTGGGGGAAGGGACAGGGTAGAAGACGATTGTTTGCTCATTTTTGGAAGCCTTCCCGGGAGGAAAAGCTCGACATAGCCAATATGCAGTTCGTTATAAAACATACTTTTTACAAGCGTTTTTTTTTTAAATGTTTCCTGAGTTAGATATTGACAATAATTCGCTGTACATCGGTTCGTTCTAGATGGGTTTCACTGTACGGGTGGCAGAAGCCGAAATTATTTCGAAGATAAATTAATTAAGGCTTGTGTGGAACGGCAGAGTACAAAGTGATACAAAAAAAAAGGGGGACGTCACAAACCCTCTTTAGATGGTTTCATATTTCTGAAAGGTAGAGACTTGCTTCGAGCGCACATGCGAAAAGTTACCTTGACCGATTTATTTTTTGACCATGTCCTGCTCTGGTTTAAATGAAAGACATTACTCTTGAGCTCGCTTGTCAACGAAATAAATTGTCAAACTTGTCAGATATGTTTCTTGATTTCGTCTTGCAGCGTGAGGGGGATTCGACAATGCGCTACCAGCATACCACCGTTCAGTCCACAGCACGTCAATTCAATATCAGGCGAGATGCACGAGCAGACCTCCAGAACGCTGACTGATGTTTCGGCTTTTCAATCGAAGCCTCTTTATTTGCTGGGCTAAGCATCTAAAAAAAGGCAGCGGTCAAACTGTCTTCTCATTTTGACTTTACTGTCGATGTGCTATCAGTGCGCTACCGTTCAATAGATGGCGCATTCATTTGTTTTCAGGCGAGATGCACGAACAAACCTTTTCTGGAACGCTAATTGCTGTATGGCCTTCAAATCAAGTTGTTTTTACCTGCTGGATTCAGCACTGTTCAACTGAAAAGGGGCAGCGGTTCAACTGCACCCTTCATTTGAACAACGTTTCTTTTGGCACAGCCATCTTGTTTGAGAATGTGACTTCACAGAGCGCTAGACTCCGGAGCGTTAAACTCCTGTGCCCCGGAGTGCGGACTTAACGCACTCATTGTTTGCTACGATGACCGTCAACTGCTTGGTCTAAACTGACAAGTCTTCTCTGAAGTGGTGTTGATTCGTTTTTGTTTTTTTTCCGTATTCAGATCAAAAGTGCCTACAGGAAAAAGGCTCTCACATGCCATCCTGACAAGAACCCGGATAACCCTAAAGCAGGTAATCAATAACGCCGCTATACCTCCGAGTGCCTATTTCGACTCCAAGTCATGCCGAGTGTTAGCCGTTTGACGAGGAATGCCATCCGATTCTTTATGCTTGTGCTCAAGTGTCTGCTGAGTGGGAGCTAATGGTAACAGCACACAACCTCTAACGGTATGAAAAATCCACTCGCACACCTTAGTATGCGCCTCGATTGGGTCTCTCGTATTGGTTGAGACCGTATGCATTTGATGTCAGTGCCTGCACTTTGCATCACTCCTAAGCAGGCCAAGTTTTGTCAAGTATCTACATGAGGGTTCCCATGGGACCCTTGATTCCTTGGAAACCCTTGGATATGAAATCTCTATTAAGGTAGGAACATTTCCATTCTGAAGGAGGAAGGTATCCCTAGTGGCATATTTGTATGTATTTGGGAATACAAATAAAAAAGTCATTGCAAGGTGCAAGCAAAAAAAAAAAAAAAAAGAACTCAATACTGCAATGAATGCATTGACTATAGTTCAGCCAACTTGTTTGCTGAAGAGGAAGATTCAATCAGTGATGTGATCTGCATTCTGACAACTGCAGCAAAACGCAAAGCATTGGGGATATTAAAGGGATGTTGGAACAGATTTGACGTTTGCTTTGAAAAACAACTTCATAGGAATGTTACTTCTTGACATTGTCAATGTCCCACTCTTGCTCGTGTAGTGGCGAGATCTTAGGTTCTGGTCCCTCAAGAAGCCCTCAGCATTTCTCTGCAAACCCTCAAGAGTCAAGAGAGCATGCCTGCCTGTGTTTGCTTTGTTCTGGGTTTTTATACCTTCACCTTGAAATTTACTTTGACAACATGCTTGTCCCCATTGTGTCTAATACTATTTATAAAATTTGTGGGATACCCGGTAAGACCTGTTCTCGCTAATACACGTGCATGCCTTTTTTTCTGGCAGATGGCAACAATATTTTTTTAGCCTTATCCGGCTGCTTTAAAACAATTATAAAGCTCTGATTGACACAGCGCTGAAAGCTGCATGTTCGCCTAACCAATTAACAGCATCTCTTCCATCACCTGATCCCGCTTTCTGCTTGTGCCCATGCAAAAAAAGATGGACACATGACCGCTTTGTTGAGCACATAGCTTCGACTGTGCTGTCAGTTTAGGTGTGAGCAAAGCGTAAGGTCTGAGGGCTTCGTCACAAGCAGGTTCCAGGGGCAAGCGCAAGTTCTCCAAAATTCCTGGGTGCCAAAAAGCATACCGAAACAAACCAGACGCTGTCGATAAATGTCACTTCCGTCCACCGGAAAAGATGCGCAAGCAGAAAAAAACAGTGCCATGCGTGCGCGAAAACGGGCCTTTACACTTGTTAAAGCATCCGGTTCTTGAAGGACGCGGTACTAATGTGAGCTCGGTTAAGTTTTCCCTCTCCTCAACTCCCCTTTCCTTGTTTCAGCTGAGCTGTTCCAAGAGCTTTCGAGGGCCCTCGAGATCCTCACAGACAAGGAGGCAAGAGTAAGTTCTGTCGCAACACTGAGGCTGGTTTACGTATGTCTTCAGCCCGACCGAGTGCATTTTGAGTGCTTGCAATGAGAGACACCGGTGTCACCTATCGGGTAGCCCCAGAACTCTCCCGATCTGAGCACTGCAAAACCTTTGAATACTGAAAGTTTTGTAGCACCAGTTGCGAGATCAAGTCTATAGACCCTCTATGAGAAATGGTCACTTATAACATTGTCAGAATTATTTCGAGCCTACATCGAAAGAATGATGCGTAAAAAAATGTGGAAATATCGGCAGGTCAGAACTGTTCCACTGCTGCTCGCTCAGTAGATGCTGTCAGTGTGTTTTTTTGTCATAAGGGGTTACCAGTACCCAGTGTCACTGTTTATAAAAGTCAGTTGTTAAGTCAAGTTACCTTTTGCAGGCAGCATATGACAAGGTTCTCAAAGCCCGCCAGGCCGCCAAGCTAAGGAACTTGGTTCTCGACTCTAAACGAAGGAAACTGAAAGAAGGTATGTAGAACAGATGTTTTCTTTTTTATGTCAACGGTTAGAGTTCTCTTTCTTAGGTAGCCTTTGGGGTTGTGTGTACCATTACAGTTCATACCGGGATCAATACATTTTTGGGGGAAGAGTGTGCTTTAACATCGATATACAAACCCTGGTTTTCTGCAAGGAAGATGATCTGCTTAGTGTCCTTCTACCAAAGTGCAAAGGTGGTGAGAAAGACAATCAGGTATCTGATGTTTACTTTTGAAACTAGAAACACAACCTAGAAAAGAAAACCGCATATACCGTAAAATCCCGAGCAAGCACCCTCTCAGAATTTAGAGACGATCATGTAAAACTGAGGGATGGGTGCTTCTTAGTTCTACAGTATATAAAGATATGTCCCTTGTGTATTTTCTGAATGTTGTAAAATTGAGGGGTGGACGCTTATTGCAGAATGGGTGGATGCTCGGTATTTTCTGGTAGTATTGTTGTGAAATATACAGTAATACTAGCAGATGTATTGCAGCAGGATCAGTTGCAGCTAAACCTGAAGAAACATATGCATCTATCCTTGCAAGCAGTTGGCATACCTTCAAATGTCTGTCGACTTCAGAAGTCTACTTACTGGCAGGTCAGCCCACAGCTCATGGATGACACAGTGCATTTGTTATGGTATAGTAGACCTATTTCATTCAGTGGATGCAAGACTATTGCCAACTGCAGGCAGGTGTTGCTAATCACACGCATTATCTCCTGCCGTTTCGAAATCCCGGCCAAGGTGCCTGCATGCTGACAGGCTTATTGCCGAAAATAAATCATGCAACCGAGATTTCGGTTGCACGTCAAAAGATATCCAGGTGGCCCGTATTAATCCTCAGTCTTCCGCTGGTGCATGCCAGATGCCCTTCATTGGTCTGGCATGTGAAACCCCTAAATATGACTTTGTCCCCTTATTTCAATGACTATAACATGAAAATTTGTGGCTATCACTATACATAAGCAATGACATGCACTTTTAGCGCCTCATCATTTGCTTTTAATCGTTTCTGGGGCCAGAAATTATCTGCCTGGATTCAAAGCTGGCTGGTCTTGTCTTGGATACCTCTGCAACATGTAAACAGCTATCAAACGAAATTAAAAATATGCTTTCCTCAGTCCACATTATTCTGTTTCCTTCAAGATTTGGAAGCAAGAGAGCAAGCGGCACTCAACAAGAAGGTAGATGACATCGACGCCGCCAAGCAACTCCAGAAAGAGGTACGACACTAAGAAAAAAGCAACAATGTTTTAATGTTTTGAAGCAACAAACGATAACAAAAACGCTACGAGTGGCATGTCAAAAGACCGACGAGACTCGCAAAAAAAAACGTTGCAGCGAAGGATTCCATTTCCTTCATTGCCATCGCGGTAAAGAAGAAGTCAACACACGCGAAACAAGAAACAAGCCTACACACTGTTAAGAAAACAGAAGCATAAGAAAACATGCCATGTCGTCGATTTGGCATCTTGCGCTTGAACGCCGTTTCACAAACGGCGGGTTTTGTGCGAAGTGAAGGTCGTAAGTGCCAAATGCAACTTGGCGGGACTAGAACCACCGAATAGGCTACGCTTGAGAGTAGTGATACTTTGGCCAGCTTGGTAGCAAAACCATGGTTGCCAGTTATTGAAACCATAGTAAACGCTTTTTCGTGCTCCGACATGTTGAAATGGCTTGTGACGGAGCGAAGCAACATCACCCAAGCTTCCCCAAGCCGAGTTTCATGCTCGTAAAGTCGCATTTTCGAATTGTAACGCCTGTCTGTTGCGCCCGCCCTACAACAGAATGGCAGCACCTACTGGGAAATTGGCGAAAGGAGTTCCGATGCTCCATAGGCGTAGCCTATTCGGTGGATCTAGGCAGGACTACACACACACTGGGAGTTTCACTCGCGGACTAAGCACCCTGCAGCGTTTGAGTTGCTGCGGGTTTGTGACTGGTTGCACGTGCACCGTTGCTGGTCTGGTGACAAAAACAGCCGACTCATGTTGCGTGTACGCTTTGCTTCCGCCAAGATCGAGAGGCTCAGAAAGGAGGGCTCGACGCAGCTCGAGGAGCAACGAGAGCTGCTTCGCAAGCAGGTGGCCGAAGAACTTCGCCTGAGTAAGTAGAGAAACTGCACCCGACCCGCCATTTTCTAAGCAACTGGTGCCATGTAGGTGGCAAACTGGGTTCGAGGATTCTGTTGGGAAGGAAAGGGAAGAAGCTTATCTAAAAGAACTTGGGGGCACAAAAGGGACGTTTGGGGAGCTTGATGTAAGTTGCCGCAGCTCAATGGAGCCAACGGTATTGAGTTCCCTCAGTCGAGAGAGTGCTCACGCTCGCTCTAGCACATGCTCGACCGGAGTTTTGCGCCGGAACCTCTCGAACCGGTTGTTTCTGAAAACGGTGGACTGTCGGGAAACGTCCCCTTTGTTTGATTTGGAAGACCGACCTTTCCATTCCACCTTCGAGCTGCAAAGGTCAAGGATTGAATTTGGTGCCCCCCGAATAATTCTTGTACGATTCATGTTTGCGTGGCTTAGTTTCCGAAGGCTGGACCGCACGTTTACCTCTGAGGCTTTGGAGTGCGATGGACTGAATTGCCGCTGCTTGTTACTGCTTTTGACGAGAGGACATGCTGGCACCCTCTGTCGGGGACCCCAAAAACCCTTCCGATCTGTGCGTAACTAGACTGGTTTTGCAGTATTTGCGCGAGAAATGGTTGCTCATAACATTGTCTGAGTTGCTTCAAGCACACGCGAAAGGCGGTGCATAAAATATATGCAGATCGGAATTGTTCCGGGATTGCGATCCGTCGCTCTGAAGTGCAAATGTGCGAACCAGCCTTGAGAGTTTAGCTAGAGCAAAGCGGTCAGGTGTGCTCGCTTCATGCTGACGTCTCACTAAAATTCGGTGGAAAGCCAGGGGGAGAATCTTCAAGCTCACCTTTATATAAACATAAACAATATAAAAAAGTTTCAGCAACCTTTCGGAGTTTGCGACGAAAACGGTACCGACGTATTTTGCAGGTGCGGAGAAGAAACAAAAGGATGCAGACTGGCTGCCAAGACTGAAGGTAGAGTTCCCTAGTGTGACAAACTCATTGTGAAAGTGTAACACATCTCGGTATGCTCTCTTACCGCTGACCTAGTACTTGTCTATCTGATGAGAACAGTTGAGCCTTGGTGTGGATAGGATTAATCGGTTTTTACTCAGAATTACTCGCGCAGGCTCAAAAAGCCAGCCCCGGCTGAGCGAAATCCTAAAAGCCAAGTGCTCTTATTGGCTAGAAAAGACCTTAATAACTAGATCTTTCCTTTCTTTGTCTAGAGTCGTGCTTTGTTAGCGAAAATAGAATCCTACAGAATGCAGCTTGTTTTATGCTGAAAGAAAAGGCAACAAGACGTTAACAGCCATTTGCTGTCGCCGAAAAGAACCAAAAGTTCCGCATGAAACGGGCAGTCTTGCGATTAGAGTACACGTTGGTCGTACGAATAGCGCCTATACATGAGGGAAATAGTACTGGTCGATGGCCTTTGTTTTAGTTAACACATCCTCAATAATTTTTATGTGCAGCACGAAAAAAAACAAAGTGAATCTTGCCATAGATGTAGCACTGTGCCTCAAGAAACCGATTTGTGGCATCTACTGTAGGGCTCAACCGTTCATCGGAATCGTCCTCTTCGTGTCATTCCATAGAAGCGAGACCTTGTGTACGGCTTGGAGGCCTGCCATAGTCGAGACACCATAAGCCGCTCGGCACATAAAGTACCCCTGTCCGTTTTCAGGTAAAATGGAAGACTGCAAAAAGCAGCACGGCTGATGACTCGCCTGCCTACACGGAAGAGAGTCTCAGGGAGATCTTCTCGAAGGTTTGTGAAATTTTTTTAAGGAGCCCACTGACGATCTAAATCTAAAATATTCTGGCTGGCTAACCAAAACCTTTGCAAACAAAATAATTACAATGCAGAAAGTTTTTGAAAGCACCCTGATGCTGTTCAGGCTGCGTCGGTTGAAAGTGTAACCATCCATCACTGAACCACTGAGAGTGACGATTTTACAAGCGTCCCATTGGCTGCCGGATTGAAAACTGTTCGACAGACACAATAACGAAAAGTAGTGGCACCTCAATGCCTACTTCCCCAGTGTCGGTCGTTCTCATAGCCAATGGCAGACCTGAAAATTGTCATCGAGTTGTTGCTGCGTATATATTAGGTTATTTTCTTAGCTTTCTTTGTCAAGTTTCTTATTTTGCAGGAGTATTTTTAATTAGAAAATTTAAAAAAAAAGGTACAAATGTTTGCCATTAAGTGGTATAACTGGCATTGCAGCCATACAAATTACAATCTTGCATTCTTTTGATCCTGTGCAGTATGGGATTGTTACCTGCTTGATTGTATCATCAAAGAAAAAGGGGTCAGCCTTGCTGGAATACGAGAGCGCTCCATCTGCTGTAAGTAAATGTGCAACTTTTTTTTTTTTGCCACAGGTAGTTCGATTTTTTGTAACAACAGACAGTCCGACAGACAAAAAAGCAATATAGAAACTTTGAAGTGTGGACTACTTATAGAGCTATAAAAGAATCGTTTGACTACTCGGTGAAAATTAAAACCTTTGGTTAAAAATAACCAACATATCAATAGTACTAAATAATACTCCCGTCGCATCCGGACAAGACATGCCAAAGGGATGTCATTGTGAATTTTCTGCAATGCCCGCGTTTACGGAGCAACCAATAAATGCTGTGGTTTTGCCTCTCGCGACCGTCGAGACTTGCGCCCCGTATTTTTTCTACCTCCAATAAGCCTGGTCAAGTGGATCGTCTTTCGCCGAGAGATAATTCTGTTGCGATTAGAGGCAGTACGACCGTTCAACTGAAGAGAAAAATGAGAGGAGGAATGCGACCTTTCCTCGCATGAACTATGGTCAACGACAGGTTAGGAGTTCAGGGGAAGCTCCTCCCACCTCTTTGCACTTTAGCAGAACGAATGCTGGAGAAGAGGTCACCTCCTCTCCAGTCTTTGCCCTGCTAGAGTGGGAAGAGGCAGGAGGAGCTTCCCCTGAACTCCTCCTCACCTGTCACAAACTGTAGCTCATGTAGGAGGAAGCTGATTCACATTAAAGTAAATACTAAAGTAACCGTAAACTGTGACAGTTGGAACGAAATGTGGGACACCGCCACAAAGCTGGTGTTTAGGAAGATATACCGCAACATCCGATAAATGTTTGGCATCGCAACACTCTCAATGTTGGCCCTTGATTGACTTCAGCATTTGGCGGTCAAGCTGGAGACCGGGAACGAGGACTGCCCGCTCGTCGTGAGCTACGTGCAGGAACCACCGTTGCCGACCGCACCAAAACCGGCACCCGGCGCAGCGCCGGCGAGCGCGCCTTCCCTGCACAACCCCGAGAGGGACTACGAGAGCCTGGTGCTGATGAAGCTTCGCCAAGCCGAGGAGAGGAAGAGGCTCTCAGAACAACTCGCGGCGGAAGACACGTGATTGGCTCGTCCTTACCAGTTCTGGTTTCTCCAAAGCTTTATGTCAAATTGTTTTCGTTTTTTTTTAATTTATGTTTTATAATAAAAGCTTTTCACTGGTTTGAAATATAAAAAAAAGAAACACTGTACATTTTGTCTTTGTGAAAGTTTGTGTCCCTTGTTGTTTGAGCTGGGCCGTGAGGCACGTCTGAAGGATTTGAAATGAGCGCAGGCAAAAGCACCCTCAGCAGTTTAAGAAAGTTGTAAAATGTGGGGAGACTTTATGCGGGACCGAAAATAAGCTAGGCGAAGCAAACGCAGTGAACGTTCATTGCCAAGTGGATGGGTGCAGAGCAATGCGCAACTCTTCCCGATTTATGGACTGCACGGTGTTGGCGTTGGCTCTGCAGAAACCGCCGTGGTGCTTTAGCATCAAGCAAAGTAAAACTGCAAACCATTGACATCACCATTGGTGTGCAACTTCCCGAGACAAAAGAATATTTAAAACTTGGAAGTCATTCTTCACATACGCCTCACAAAAGTTTTGATTGTCTAATTTGTCATAACTATGGCACCATAACCCTCCGCAAATTAGTGAAGGGACAGTTTTTCTGACAAGTTGCTGCAAACAGTGGTACTTGCAGCAACTTCTTCGGTACAACACCACGGAAAGGTAATGCAAACCGTAATCGCCTAAAGGACAAGAACTACTGCAACTAAAACAACTAAAGAGTAAAAAAAAGCATTGCATTTGTGTCGATGTGCGCCATCACTGACAGGGGAAGACTCCGGTAAAAAAAGCCGCTTGCCTGCGTGCAACGAAGTAGCCCCCCCTCAAAATGTGTGTCTTTGGAGGGTCAGATTGACGGCTCATCAAAAAAATATTGAGCTTGTAAACGCGTCGCCGGCGTTGAGAGTGGCCGTCACTGTCCTCGGCAGGGAGAGATTCCTTTGTCATGGCTTGTGGAGTGTCCAGATGCACGTCTGCCCGATGCCGGACATGGCCACCACCCTGTAGCCCATCAGTTCGAGCTTGTTGAGCACCGTGCGGGGGGGATCATCCGTGCGATACTCTGGGCTATGAAACAAAGGCTGTGAGTTGCACGTGCCATCGCCTCGGAGTTTGGTGGAAGTATGAAAGTTACGTTTGTACTAGAGCAACTAATTCCTTAGTGACATGGGCATACTTAACTGCGGTTATGCTAAGCCACAGTTGCCACACTACACTCTTGGACAACGTTCTGCAGAATTGTGGTCAAAGCTATGGGGCGCACGTGCGCTTGCACCTCTTGAGTACCCATCAAAGCTGCGCACATACGCTCTTCGCTTCTGAAATAGCTGTCCAAGAGTAGAGTGCAGCGAGTGTAGTGAAGCGGAACTGCAGTTAATGGTGACTCAACTGCGGTTAAAGGCAGATTTGAAAAATATTTTTCAACCAGGGTGAAAACTCTTCCCACCCTTGCCGTTTCCCCCCCTCAAGGATATGTGGAGCACAACTTCGTCTGCTTCTTTTGGGGGGTTGTGGTGACGTCACATTACCAAGCTCTGAGTGGCTTTAATTGAAGGGTGGGTAGACCGGTAGACCTCAAGGCAGCTAGCTTTGAGGTTTACCCATTGTCCTTAATCAGAGTCAATCAGAGCTATGACGTCACCACAACCCCCCCCCCCCCCCTCCCTTTCCCACCCCACCCCCAAAAGAAGCAGACGACCTTGCGCTCCGCATTAATAAGGCACCCTTAGGCTTCATTCACACTGGCGTTCGAATTGCAATCGCGAAGCGGATCCGGTCATTTTCATCATCAAATACGCGTAAATCTGTACTGGACCTAGTTTGTTGACACTGGAGTTCAAGTAGATTTAAGCAGAAGCCCAATCTCCGGACGCACTGTACCTCCTTCCATATTTTTTTTCTACTTTTTAATTTCCTTTTTGTGGCAGCAACCAAACAAACGAAAAACTGTCCAGGCGTGCCAAGGCGATAAATCTGGCGCGCCCGTACACTGAACTGCGTTACCCCACCGAGTTCTCGAGAACTCTCCGAGCGTTCTGAACAGAGCGCGTCTGTAGGATATCTAAAACAAAATGTGTCCACAAGAAACACAACAATCCCCAGTTCCAGCTCCCGTTTTCTTGGTGGTAAATATCCGAGAAGTTCTTGCTTTGTTTACTTACAAGTCATTCCCAGCTTGAGTGACTTTCTTGGCTCCCAAATGTTCCATCAGCGTTGGATCACTGTTACGGTCACCCACAATTGTTGGGCCATTTTCCTAAAGAAAATAAATAAAAAAAAACAGCCCGTTTAGAGACACTAACTTCATCAGAACGACGTATACGAATTTCATGGCAATGTCTGAAAAATTTGATTACCGTCAAAAAAATTCGGCACACAAAATATAGGAACTTTTTTTCAGCGACACAATCAGCTCATGCAATGGAATTGGAGTGAAACGGTAGGTCGTTTTATCACATCCTTGCGCCGAGCTGACTTGTGTAAGCTGTTGATAATAACTTGATAACAAGCCGATGTAAAAAGTTGCCTTGAAAGTTTTGAGAGCTTGTGCTGATCGACAGTAAATATAACGCCAGTTGCCGTTCCTTCAAGGAGGTACGAAAGTTACTTACGAGTCGAATTTGAGTGGAAATCAGAAGATATGGCATGACGGCTGCTCAAACGAGATTTCGCCCTGGGTGCAATGGTACGATGTTACACTCACACGCTCATTCATGTGCTGAGCGAGCTGGAGCGCTGGAGGCTGAAAGGTAGCATCATAAAGGCAACGCATTTCACAACTACGCGCGCGCGGAACCAAACCGATTGGGGCGCCAAACACTCTACTGGCGGTGAGAGTTGGTATTTAATTGCGTCGTCTACTCTTTTTCAATGTTCGAAAAAGACTGAACTCTCCAAAATATTTTAAAGTGCCTGGGTCGAACACGTCTGTCACAAAAGAAAGTTTTCGTGAAAAACTTTTTTAACTAAATAATTCCGAAGTAGAGCTTAGTTTCGGTTTCGTTTCAGAATTAAAACGGGCCTCCTGGCTTAAATGTTTCGCTAAATACCGTTTTTGTTTTCAGAATAAAGGGGCGAACTGCGCTCATAACACCTTGGCTTTCTCGTATTTGCAGAAATAATTTGTGTTGCTAAGTGAAGCCAGCACACTACTGGGTGATTCAAGGAGCGGCCGTCAGCCCTCTTGAACAGCGGCGTTAGTTAGTTAGTTAGTTGGCGGTACCTAACCCCTTTTGAGACAGGGGGGTCAGCAAAAGTTCAAATTGCCGACACAGGTAAAAGTTTTAGTTCTTGTTTTGTTTTAGCTTTTCCCACTTTTGGGACACTTTCACTGGTTGGCGATCAGACGTAGTCTCTCCCTTTCAAGGGTTCATATCACATGAGCGAATGACATTTTAGCGAACAGCGATGTTTGAGCGAATGAACGTTTTAGCGAATAACGGGGGCGCGCGTTAACCCACCCGCCGCGCTGCGCTTTACGCCGCTTCGCGGCGACAGTCTGCGGGAACTCATTACAAAAATGTGAACCCATTTGGCCCACCCGAAAACGCCGCTTGGCGGCGTCCGACTATTCGCTAAAGTGTCATTCGGTAAAACGTGGGCGTTCGCTAAAATGTCATTCGATCAAGTGAGTGCCTCCCCCCATTCAACGAGAATGCGCTTGGTGGCTATAGTCGGTTACAGCTGGTTAAGAAGGTAGCGGCAAATGCCCCTCAAAGGGAATCCTATATCCCTCCGCCACCTCCGCATCCAATAGCGTCCCATCGTTTCCGCGACGTCGCGGCCAACGCGCGAGGAGGGTCTTGCCTTTCTGTACATATTTGCTTTATCTTTCGACTTCGACTTAGCATTGTGGAAGCCACGAGAGGGAGATTAGAGTTCTCCCCCACCGACGGAAACAAATACGACTTTCGGGGATTAGCTTCCCCCCCGATGGATACAAAGGCTGCTTTCAGGGGCTGGGTTCCCTCCCCGATGAATACAAAGGTCGCTTTCTTAAAAAGTGGGATCGGAGACAAGTTGGAATCCATTGAAGCGGAACAAGGAGTGTTTTCAGCGAACTCTTCTTTCGACTGCGGAGAAATTTGAAACGGGCGCATCACGCTTGTGGGAGGAGCTTCTCCTACCTTCTTGACTTGTAACCGACTATAGTGAACCGTGGGCTCCTTCCCCGAATCCCATCATTTCGGGAATCCTCTCTTCGCTGGTCGCCCAGGGCGGTCGACAGTGGTCTAGGGCAGGGCACCACAGCAGCACGTGGAGGACGTCCTCGCTTGACTGCCCGCACAGATGACAGGCTGTGTCGGTGTCTCCGAAGAGTTGGGCACGTCGGCAGCCTGTCATCAGCGCTCCTACCCGCGCCTGAAACAGTAGCGCACTTTCATGGTCCCCTCGACAGTGTGTGCAGGGAGACGGCTCAGGCTTGTGGAGCGCGTAGATGCTCTAGAGGCTCTGCTTTTTCCTCACCGCTTGTCTCTAGGCCTCAAGTTCAATCGCGTTCACCTCCTCTGTCACAGCCTTGAGCCATCCTTTCTCCGATGTGGCCTCATGTCGCCTTGTCCCTTAGCTGTACACCGAGTCGAGCCTGGCGATGGTGTTTGACCAGTTCGTCCTGCTGCTGCGGTATCTAACGGAGTGGAATGTCCTTTTGGCGTACGCTTCGTCTGGCATGTGGATCAGGCGCCCGAGGTATCCGAGCTTGGCCCTTGCATCCCGTTGCTTGAAAGTCGACCAGGCCATCTCTCCCGTGACGGCCAGGTTTTCAGTTGCCCCGTTTCCGCCCAGTGCCCACCTCCCGATTTCCACTTGATGGCGATCCAGTGTCTTCAGGGTGGTCTGTTGGAAGACCACTGCGTCGCTAGCATAGGTGACCGCCGGTACTGCGACACTCTTCCGCAGTGCCCTCGCAAGGGTGTATGGGTTATAGGAATACTTTGCCATGTTCCACAGGTGACCTTTTCGGATGTTGGAGGTTTTTAGGGTGTTCCTCTCATGTAGTTCCAAGTACAGCGGGCCTTCGTGAAGAGTCACTCCCAGATACCTGTATTCCTTGGTATGTTCTACTTCCACCTCCTGTACTCTAAACGTGTGGTTAGGCTCGTGAACATTATAGCCCATCCACTTTGATTTTTCCTTACTGAATTTGAATCCCTCTTCATTCCCAATTCGAGTGCAGATATCGAGCATGTCTTGAAGGTGAGTTTCATTCTCTGATAACAGGAGTATATCATCAGCAAAGGCCAGTACTGGAATATAAGTTGTTTCCATGTCATTACTGGAGGTAATGGTTGTGAAAGAAACACCCTGCCCTTTGGCTTGCAGCTCCAGAATGAGATTGTTGATGTAGATGTTGAACAGGGTTGGAGAAAGGGGGCAGCCTTGGCGCAGACCCACAATCATGTTCACCTGCCCTGATAAATGTTCTCCCAAACTGTATCTGGCGTTGCATCCGGCGTAAATGTTTCTGAAGAGCGATACTGTCTGAACATCCAGTGCCATCGCTTCTAACTTCGTCCACATCTTCTCATGGGGCACTGCATCATAGGCCTTTTCCAAGTCAAGTTAAGCCAGATAGAGTGGTGACCTATCTAGATTTTTTAGCTCTATTAGTTGTGTGACAGTGAATAAGTTGTCGCTGCCCCGCCGGTTCCTACGGAATCCATTCTGTGCCTCGCTGAAAAGGTGGGCTTTCTCACAGAGTCTCTGCAGTCTGTCTTGCAGGATTGATGCAAAGAGTTTGTAAACATTACTTAGTATTGTTATCGGCCTGTATGAGTCTAATGAATTCTTGTCTTTATCTTTTCCTTTGTAGATTAGTTTTATTTTGGCTTGTTTCCAGGCTTCACGAATAGCGCTTTTTGCCAGCATGTTGTTTAGAAGGTACCTTAGGTGCTTCTGTACTACCGGTTTAAGCTTTTTCAGGAACTCGTTGGGGATGTCGTCTGGATCTACTGCCTTTCCTGCTTCTAGTTTATTAATATGTCTCTGCAGTTCACCGGGCGCTATCGGTTCAAGAATGCTGCTGTCAAATTGTTCCTGAGGTCGTAGGGATGTTTCCTCCTGTGTCCTCGGTCTGTTGTAGAGGGAGGCTTGAAGTCCCTGAAAGTATCTAGTCATTCCCTCGGTGATTTCTTCTTCAGTGGTCCATTGGTCTTCTCCACTCCCTACCGTCTTGTGTTCAAAGTCCTTGTGTGGTTGGAGAGATCGCACATATCTCCAAAAGCAACGGCTTTTGTTGTCGCTTTCTTGTAGGGCTTGTTCGTGTTTCGTGTGTATCTTCAGAATTTTTGTAGCCACTAGAGATTTTACTTTATTTTTCTGTAGCTCGTAATTTTCCCAGTTTTGCGTTGCCATGCTGTATTGCTTTTTATTCATGGCCTTTTGATGTTTTCTGGACCATTCCTGTCGTACTTTGATTTCCTCCTTAACCTCCTTATCAAACCACGGTGTTCGTTTATCACTTTTGACTCTGGTTTGTTTTCCTACATGAGTATATGCTAGTTGCATTAGAGACTCGTAGAACTCACTGTAGGTTGATGGGGGGCTTCTTGCAAACTCAGCATCCAAGGCATTACCCCATGCCGCCATTCTACCTTCGTCATTAGTTCTCCAGTAGCTTGTCCTCCTGTGAAGTTTATGTTTCCTCGAGCCGTGTATGAACTTTTTGTAGGCCTGGTCAATCGTTATTTTTATCCGATTATGGTCACTTCCGCAGCTGAACACTTTTTCCTCGTCCACTGTTATGTTTTGCAGGTGCCATGGTGCACAGAATAAATCTTGGGAGGCGAGAATGTAGTCGATGGTTGATTGTTGGTTTCCACTGCTCCATGTTATCTGCCCCTTACAGCCTTCCTCCAGATTAACTATTCGCAAATTGTTGTGCTCTACAAGTTTTCTGAGACTGTGAGCTCTTTCATCTTTACTACTTAACTCCGCCAGATGGCAGTTAAAGTCTCCCATCAGTATAATTGGGCGTGTGATGTTGCTCTCTTCAAGGTCTTTCTCCAGAAACTTATATATTCTTTCATTCCAAGATTCTTCTACCCCTGCTGTGGCCATGTACACAATACCAAGCCCGATGTGGCCCATTCCCATACCTTCGAATATCGCCCACATATGTTCTGTACAGTTGTTGCCTATTCGCTTAAGTTTTAGGCCTTCCGTTATTAGTTCAATCAATAGATGGCGACACGCACCGGTGGGGTGGCCGAAACATTGGTTTAAGTGGGATGGCTCAACCACCATCACGTTCCCCTCGTGGCCTTGCTCGAGCCGCTGGCAGCTGTGCTCAGCTGGCCCAAGTAGCGGCCCAGCAAACGCATGCATGTATGCGAGAATGTCAGGCTGGGTATAAATTGTTCTCTGATATAGGGAGATGCGGTTCGGCGGTTGTCACGGGCTTTTGCTATACATCTTACCAAGAAGGAATCAATTGTGGATTGACGTGTCCATATTCTATCAATGAAAAGTTCTTATGCAGGAATGCACGCTCAGTAGACTCAATCTTCCAAGACACCGGTGGAAGCGGACGTCTAGAAAACTGCTTTGCGATTTACGGTATTTACCTCGCCATTATAATGACAACTGAAAAGTGACGTCACGAAATATTGTGTTTCACGGGATCCGGAAAATGTTGTAAAGGTTGTTACATTACACCCCCCCCCCCCCCCAAAAAAAAAAAAAAAAAAAAAAAAAAAAAACGGTTGTTGCAATATTTTTGCACACATTATGTTGTACGTACAGCTTATGGGAATATGATGAAAATCATCAGTATAAATAGGAAGACGTTTATTTGCAATGAAGATGCTATGATTGAGCGGCGTTTAGCGACGGCAAGCGAGCGTTCGGGAATTTATAAGTTCATATGATTGCTAACTATAGACATGCGGACAATGAAGACCTGTTTTGTCGGTAGATGGAGTTGCGGTGATGACCTGATATCGGACGACTCGTGGCAGACGAAGAAGCAAGTTTCTTCTCAGCGAATGGTAAGCGTCAAGTGTCAAGCACAGCACGTCTATACCGACGTTTTTGACGTTTCGAGCACTTACCGCTTTCGACAAAAGTGTTGGCACCTGGGCTAACTTTGCGGAAAGACTCGAAGTCTTCCTTGAATCTAGCGCCATCATGAACAGTAACTGAAAACGATCCACTATTCAGTCGGTGGGTGGCGAAACGTATCCGCATCTGCGGAGTCATGGTTGATGCGCACTGTAAGTGATTGGAAGTTTACACGATGCATGCCACTACATCCAAACTCGTCATTGACGTTCTACGCTCTCTTACTTTTGGCCTACCGAAAATACTTCTCTCTGATAACGTGCCGAGTCTTGTTTCAAATAAAATATACAAGTTTTCTGAGAAAAATAAAAACGGCATCAGGTACCACATTAATTCACCAAACTAGCGGGCAAGCGGAACAGATGGTGTGTGAAACGAAGAAAACCCTCTTGAAGCTTACGGAAGAAGCAGTTCAGTGAAAAATCGCCAGGTTCTTGTTCCGGCAGCACCCGACTGTCTCATCTTCCACGATAAAACACGCGCCGAAGCATTGTTCGGCGGACGAAGAGCCACACCCCTCGGTCTCATCACACTATGGCTTACGAACGAAGATCGAGAGACTCCCAGATCGGGAGTACTGGCAGTTTATTCAATCGGACAACTCGTCTACGTGAGGAATTTCAGCGGAAGTCCGGCCTTTCATGTTAAACTTCAGTAGAAAAGGCTCTATGTTGTTTGACCAGAAGATCGTCCCTCTGAATACGTTGGATATCAATGCCATTGAGTGTAAATATAACGAAATCACAAAACTCTCTTTGTGTGTTGTGTAACTGCCCTTGTATTTGGTAGCAGAAGCTATGGTGGTGATTTGTACATTTCACAGTAGGCTCCTTTTTTTTTTTCCACCTTATACTATTTTGCGGTTTCGGTAGGCTATAAGAATCTTTTGGAACGGGGACACTACCTCAACGACGCCATTTGTTCCAAGCACTCCATCAGAGGATGCTGCTAGAAATCTGTCCTTCATATTAATGAATAATCCGCGCTTTCGCACAGTGTAGTTTTCATGTTCCACGTACAGTTGTAAAGCAGCATCCTAATTGATTCTACCATATTCTGCTGCGGACGAAGAAAAGTCTTTGGGTACACAATACCTGAAACAAGTCTGGCACTGCACATTGTGGTTCAATACCCACTAATATCGTCGTCCTTATAGAGCCTCAAAATTTAATCATCACTGCGGCGAACAATTGGGACGACACCAAGAAGCTGCTGTTCCTACCGACTCTACTGCGCGGACAGGCGTTCCAAGTTTACCAGCATCTGGATATGCGACATCGCACATCTTTCGCCCGTCTATCCGCTGCCATGTCAAAGGGCTGTAGATCTCCTGCTCAACGAAAAGTTGCTGCCGCGCAATTTCGAACGCGGAAACACCGTTTTGGGGGAACCGTTTTGGAAACGAACAACGTTTTGGGGGACATGTTCGTATACAACCTGATGGACCTGTTTGCGGGGCTCGGCGATGACCTTCGGTGCCGGGTACTCATCGCTGCTCCAACATCCCTGGCGTATGCAGTATAACTGCTGCAACCCGCATCAGCTGTCTCGGCAAAGGATCAATAAAGACATATCGTTTACTACTATACTGCGCGCGAAGACACGACGTTTGCTACAAAAGCGGACATAGCGCATCCCTCACCTCTTCCATGGCTGCTCTCGCGGACGAGGTCGAGAATCTCCAAAGGGGGCAAACGACCACACACCAGGTCTCACATCAGCAAAGCTACTTTCGTTGCGGCAGGCAGGATATTTCGTACGTAGTTGTATTGCCAGGATAGAGAACAACGGACAAGTAATCAGCTCTAACCGACGTTGGAACCAACGGCGTTCGGAAAACTGATCGGTGCCTCAATTCAGAGCTCTGCGGGGGCTCCCGTCAACCAACACGGGACTCAACAAACTACACCGCATATCACGGTACGAGGGACCATGGCAGGTGTTTTACTAGACTTCTTAATTGATTCGGAGTCGTCAGTGACTCTCATTAGCTTTGATGCGTGAACGCAATTAGTGGATGCAAAGCTCGCAGTCGTATTGAGGAGTTCCAGGGACGGTGTCACCGCCCTGGCGGCCGGTCGCCGAAAGAGGACGTGGGGGATAGGTTCGCTGGGCGTCGACTTGGTGTAAATGCGTTGGCCGCGAACGTAGGCTTATAAACTTCGGCAGCAAGAATATTACGCGGCTCTAGTGTTCCGTTACGAGCAACAGAGGTGACACGATCTGCTACGACTATCTACGACCACCCGCCGCAGCGATGCAGGCGTCGAAGGAGCGCAACCTGTGTACTACGCAGTCAGCCGCCGTCGCCCGACGCAGGTCGTTTGGCATTGAGGGCTTTCCGCCCCGGGTTCTTCGCATGTACTTGGAACCGAGCATTATTTCCTGTGCTTGTGTATGTGCTCAGGAGGTGAATATGAACCTCATAGAGCAGTTCTTCAGACTCAACAGCGACTCAAAGTTGACGGCGGAGGGGCTTGCAGCAACGCTTTCGGTTGGTGCACGGGTGCGACGACTACACGGATAAATTTTAAGATTGCTGCTAGCAAGGTGGGCCATAGTCGCTTTATGTTGACACGATTTTGAGTGCAAGTACTCCGTGCAAAGGCGAATCTATCGCGTTTCTAATCCACCTTTGTTTTCGTTGTTTTTCGCACGCACGACTGACTGCTAAGCAAATGCTTCTGTACCGATCACGGAGTGAATGTCTTCCGCCTCACATTGCGGAACGCCCAATAAAAATTCATATTCGTTCAGCGAGAAAACTTTCCTTTCGAGTGACCTTCTTTGATTGATAATTTATCCCGCACTTAAGTGCTTTAATCAACACGATCGATTAAGTTTGCTTCCCAAGTTAGGACATTTTTGTGCCACATGCGGCACTAATGCTTGGCACGATGTATGCCACTGGTGGTATTGTGAATTGGTTTACTTCCAAAGCTAACAGTGTGACAGGTGGAACCGTTCAATTTGCTAAAAATGTGATGATATGGGAATTTCGTTGCATAACTAGCGTTTTACGTTTAAGATTGATAAGAAACATGGTCATGTGATGATGCATGTCTACAGCATAAGCTTTGAAGATCCAGAATGGATGTGCTATAGGCTACAGCCTCAAGATGTTTAATGGACCAAATTGGTGATTACACGGCAATAAATATTGTGGTGGAAAACTGCCCATTGACTCGGTGAGTTTTGATCATGACAATTGGTGTGCTGTTGGCAAATTGGGTTATGGCACACCTTTTCCCTGACCAACTGGCTTCAAGGGACATTGCATCTAGATGTGCTTAAATATCTTTATTTCAAGGTTCAGTGGACCCCTCTGCATCATTACAGGAAGGCAGTCTCAAGCCACAACAAACCAGTGAATATACAATGCCTAATAACAGGCACCAGTGTCCAGGTGTATAGTCCGCAGAAGCCAATATGAGCCTAAAAATGTTTGTTTTGTTTAGATAGTTTGCATTTGGTGTATAATACGCAGGGCCCAATTTCCGCGCCCAGTGCATAGTCCGCCAAGCTGGTGCGTTGCGTCTTCGTGCTTTTTTTCCTGGGTGGTATTTTCTTCAGAAGTTCTTCCGCGAACGCTATTGAGCCTGAAGAACTGCTCTTGCGGCCCATATCCAGCCACTGAGCACACACAAGCACAGAAAATAACACTCAGTGCCAAGTACAAACGGAGCACCTGGGCGGAAAGCCGTGAATGCCAAACGAGCAGCGTCAGGTGACGGCGACTGACTGCGTTGCGCCCCTTCGACGCCTGCATCGCTGCGGTGGGTGGTCGTAGCTAGTCGTAGCGAGATGATCTTCACTTCAAGTAAGAAATCTTGCCATACCATAGTCAAGATATGTGTGCAAGTGTTCGATGACGTGGGCTCTCTCACGTTGGTGCAGTTGTCATAAAAAAAGGTACATATCAGCAATGTTGCGTGTTTGAGGCTGAAACTATGACGCATACTTATCTAAACCTAAATTTATCGGTCTGCTGCTACAAACATTTTCGTTGACGTTGCTTAGATGACGTA